TTGGAGATATGATTTTAATTGGAGTGAGAGGGATGAAAGGAAGATGACATGAAATTTAGTACTGGAAGGATTAGAATGCAGCAGAGGCTTGAGGACTATGGTTTATCAGGGGTGTTGTCCAACAAGTTTCATGGGATTGAGGGCAAAAACTGGGCAGGCAGAAGTCTCTGGACAGAGAACATTATAAAGGAGTTTTTTTGGTAAAAGTTTTCCCAGGTAATAATAACAATTAATGCATTTTAATTAGAAAGTACGGTATGTTGTGAAGCTTCCTAAAACACAAATAAATGTAACTACAATATTTTACACAATGCAAAATAGTTACATCATCTACATAAACATGATTAGGAAGTAAATGCATATTGTGCCATCTTGCAGAGAAACTGGCCCACTTGAATTTCCTTCAGATAAGTTGCTTTCAAAAGCCAAGATGATTATATTTGGGTGTTTTTCTTTCTTTCTGGTGAAGCAATAACAGCTGTAGATATGAGCAGATGTGCCAAAGTTGCGAATGAATTTTCACCTAGCTGTAAAAGCCTCAAACGTAGCAACTAGCAAGGTGTGTGTAAACAAAACGGCATCTTCATGCATCGACAATTTTTTTTTAGTAAGTTCATTTTGCAGGATTCTCCTGCATTCTTTCTTTGGATGTCTAAACTATAGTTCTAAATGCTCAACAGCAATACTAGAAATTTGGGGACAGAACAAAAAATTAATTTAGGAGGACAGAATTCTTATTTGGGGAGCAATGCTCTCATTTGCCCTCCACATATCACTACATCCCTGGGGTCCATATTATTTTATCTGTGGTGTAGCTGTCTTTTTTGTGCTGACTTTTGACCCTGTCTACTGACATCTAGCCCTAGGGATTATGTGGCTGTTTCCCCTCTTCTGTCAGAGTTCAGATTTTAGAAGAAACTGTGACTGACAGAGGAATGTTATATGTACCGGTAGGCTGACCAGATGTCCTACTGTACAGAGGAGAGCCTTCCATTTTAAGGTGTCTTCTGTCTCAAGGACTGTCTACTCCATGCCCAGATTAATGATATGGAGCCATAAGGAGGAAGAGAACCAGGAAAAGGAATAACACACATCCAGTTTAATAATAAAGAGCAGTCAGAGGAAAGAAGTGGTTTTAAAGTCAACAGTTAGGATCAGAGCAGTAGACTGTGTAGGTACTCAAGTCCCCTGATCAGAGGAGATTTTGCAAGTGCTTTCCTCTGGGGCTGAGAAAGTGTGACTGGTCCAAGGTTTCCATGGCCCAGTAGGGATTTGAACCCAGGTCTTCCAGAGTCCCAAACCACTACACCGGCTCTCTAATTATTTCTATGCTGCTAACTAAACGATGCAAACTCCCTGTGTTCTGTTTTGGCTCTTATTTTTGGTGATGCACAAATGCTCATGCTAGAGTCACATCGTGAGAAGAACCAGTGGTCAAAGTGCTGGTTTAGACAAATCCCTGACCTGGGTCCAAAACACACTGCAAAAATAATCCAGTTTGAGACCACTTTAATCGCCCTGGCTCAATGCTAGGGAATAATGAGAACTGTATTTTTGTGAGACATTTAGCCTTCTCAGTCACAGAGAGCTCTGGTGCCCACAAGTTACAATTCCCAGAATTCTTTAGCACTGAGCCAAGGCATTAAAGTGGTCTCAAACTGGATTATTTCTGCAGTGTGTTTTGGACTCTGGTAACATTTATATAAGAATGTAAGAAGAGTGGGCAGGTTTAGACCAAAGGCTGATCTAGTCCAGCATCCTGTTTCCATTATAACCATCTACATATCTATGGAATGACCATAAGCAGGACAGAGTTGCTTCTGTGAACTTGTCAAATCCCTTTTAAAGCTGTCCAGGTTACAACCATTGTTATCTATTCAAGTGGCAAATTCAATAGACAACATTCTATATGAACATAAACTATCTGAATCTTTAGCAGATTTTTGGAGTCCAGTTCCTAATTTATGGCAAGCAATCCATAATGCATTTCTCAATAGGTAATTCTCATAGGGATGCAGTGGCTCAAGTGGTTAAGATGCTGACTGTTGACTGCAAGATCGGCAGGTTGTCAGTTCGAGGCCTAGGTGATGGGGTGAGCTCCTGTCACTAGTCCCAGCTTCTGCCAACCTA